AACCCCCCCCCCCCCAAATAAATGTGCTGTATTATCTCCCTTTCCTAAACAGAAAAGAGTCATTTCACTCATCACAGAACTGCCGAGACCCTCAAGGACGGAACGCAACCACCTTTTACCAGCATCCATCCAGCGGCTATATACGATTCCCAGATATAACGCCTGTCTCCTTTGGTCTGGGTGTGTGTGCACTGTACAAGTGCAGTTATGTTCAATTATATCCCTGGATAAGTGAGTCCCCACCCTCTGCTGTTTCTCACATTCACTTTCTGTTGTTCAGTAGTTTTGACTTGGGTCCCTACAGTCAAAATGGAACAAAGTCCCATCTCTTCCACCTTACCAGTATTTCAAAACTTCTCCTATCCACTTCCCTGCATCACTCTTAAAATGCAATGATTGAAATCAGACACAGTTTTGGGCTGTGGCCCAACCAACACTGAGCCAAGTGATACTGTCACCCCTGCATCTCACAGAACGCACTGCATGCAGATGTCACAGTATATTCCTGGGCTCTCCATCCTCCATCTCTCTGCCACTTGCTTGAATTCCTATGATCAATATTTGGGATGAGGGAGATGAAGACATAATGCAGCAGCTTCCCTTTGTTTCCCTGGCTTACTTTTTGAATTGGTGTGTGTGTAAGTGTCTTTGCTGGCTGCAGTGCTGTGATGAGCTATTTAGTTCTGCAAAGAAAATACATTCTGAAGCCAAACATACTTGGCTCCACTTGGAGCTTCCTTTGCCATCTTTGCAAGAAGCTGGAGTCCTAACAAAATACTAACAGTTCAATAAGTATCCCTAACTGCACCGCACCCACAGTGCAGGCCCATTCCCCTGATTCATTTATGAAGCTTTTCTTCAAATACTGAACATTACAGCAAGCCTTGAAATAGGTTAAGCACAGTTAATAACTTGTTTGTCTTAGTTCAGAAAAACCTAGTCTTTTAATGAAGTCATAATAAAAACAATTAACTCAGGATTTTGAAATCAACCCTTCAAGACTTAGATTAAAGATAAAAGAACAAAAGTGAAACCAGATTGCTTCAAAGCAGCCGACTGAACAACATGCTGAGAGCCGACGTGCGTCTGGGTAACCACTGTGTATGAAGTCCTGATAGGAAAGCTTGCTATTGGGATTGGTATTAAAGCTCACAGCAACTCCGGTGCAAGCCTATCAGTTGGAGCCTTTATAAATGTGAACTACGGCATTGGCTCAAGTCCCGTTTTCTTCTAGGCAGTGTTACAGCAGGGGACAGTGTCAGCACTGGGTTAGTGCAGTCTGCTGTCTCGTGAAGCACTGAAGTGCTTGATTATGCACACTCTGCCGGTCTACTCTAGGTTATAAGTCTGTTAGGGTAGTGACTTCAAATTGATCAAAAAGTTGCATTTTGTAAAACACATAGAGCCCGGATGCTCTAGATACCTAACAGGTAATATAGAGATGTAGAGCTGCACACAGAGATCTACTGCTGGGGAGGCTTTTCATCCTGGTCAAGACAGAGGTAAAGAGTTCTCATTTTCCCAAGGGAGGCGGTGAACTGCAGAGCTACGGCGAACCTGGAGACACTTCCCTCCATGGATTCAGTAGATGCCAATGTACGTTGAGGTTTGTGGTACATGTGCGCAGGACGATGCTCCACACAGGCGGGCCATAAAATAAAAGAACTTGCTTCCTGGGTCACCCTTGCCTTCTGGTTTCTCTTCTTTTCCCTTCTAGTGTTCTTATGCTCCACTTTTTACTTCTTTACCGTGAGTCAACTCTTTCCTCAAGCTAAGCTCATTTGTTTGGAACTGCTAAAAATATTCTCTCCCTCCTCCCCCAACTCCTTCTCCCAGATGCATTTGCTTTCCTCATTCGGGGCTTTGCAGATATATCAGCTTTCCAACAGCAAATGACTGTTAGTCCCACTGTGTCTCTGAAGGAGGCACTGTGGAAAACTGTGTGGGGATCCTGGCTGTGGGAGGATCTTTCCGAGACTCCAGGATCTCTCTCAACCCCCTAAAGCAATTCATTTTCCAGTCACTTACCAGCTTCACCAACAAACACTTCCACAGGTGTGCTGGTAGGGCTCTCCCCGATGATATTATAGGCTGTCATTAAAACTTCATATCTCCTGTACTTCTTCAAATCTGGAAATGTAAATTATTACATCAAAAAACTGACACTTCTAACATCCCACTTAATACTCCCTTATCCCTTTATAGCCACATTTCTCGCTCACTCAATATAGCGAGAGAATATTGGAAACAAGTTACTGAAATGTGAGAGTCTTTTACTTGGCTCTGTTTAGCTCGTCTTTTCTAATTCACACATCGCCACAGTAATGACATGTAATAACTTTCATAATTATGACAAGACCTCAGTCTATCCCCCCCCCAGATCTCCTACTGCTTTCTCAAGAGTGTGGACTGACACGGCAAACCCTGGTGTAATTACACGGGGTTTTGTAGACCAATGCAAGTAGCACTGGAGTCAGAAATGAATACAGATCAGTTGTCCTAGGGCAGCAAGCGCTTTTCCAGGGCTTTGTCATTAGGTGCAAGACAATAGTAACTAATAAATACCCTGTTCGTGTTTATCAAATGGCTATGCCGGGATGGCAGCACACAGTCAAAACCTAAACTGGTATTATTTATATTAGTAGACCTTTGCCCCTAATTCCTTTTAATTGGGTGAAGTTATCCCAGTTCAGATTTGCTTACCTGCCTATTACTTTCTTACACTCATGTTGTGCTGAGCACACCGGTGTAAATGTTACTTAGACTTGTAAAGAAGTAAGGCCGGAAGGGACCTCCAGAGGTCATCGAGTCCAACTCCCAGCCTGAGGCAGGATCCTCCCTATTCAAACCATCCTGTACAAATCCACCGTCCAACCTTTTAGCAGAACTAGTCACGCCTGACAAAACCACAAGCCATAACACCCTAAGCTGCCACAGGGAGACCGCCGTGGCCAATGTCCTGATGCTGTGAAGTTGTTAATATATGCTCAAGAGAGTCCAGGAATAGGGCCATGCACCCCCACCTACAGAAGATGGTAAAAAAGGCAACCCCCTTCCCCCTATAGCCCATATCAATCTGACCATGGGGTAGAATGCCTTCCCAACCCCAAATATAGCTATCGCTCTGACCCTAAGGGGGTTTCATCTGTCCACAGGCTAAAAGGGATAATTCTCAGTCGTTGACAAGAAAAAGCAAAATGCCTGAGCCGTGCCTAAGGGCGGGCCTGTTCAACAAGACGATCCTACTCTAAAAGGTCAAGATCCAGACTCTTATTTATTTCTGCTTATGGGAAATATCATAGCTGTAGGCCCTTCCCCAGCCACAGAGTCCTCTCTGTTTAGGGAATAGTTAGCAACAGCACTGTTGCAACTGAAATGCGGTACAGATGGAGGTTGATGAGGGGAGTCTGTAATCCCATTCAATGGGCTGCGCAGCCATTTGTCTCGAAGTGATTACCATTTCAACATTGATCACAGATTCCAAGGGGGATTTGAAACCTCTTGTACTCCATTTGGCCACCAGGCTCCCAATTTCTTCGCTGACATGCAGGGACTACTCTGACAGATGGGGGAAGAAGAGTGAGAGCAAGGAGAGAAAAAGCAGGCAAAAATCTAGGGCACTAAGGTAATTACTAAATCAATTAAAAAGAGGGTGGAGTAGAATCATGTAACAATCCCAGAAGACTGCAGCTGTCCACAGATTCCAGGACTTCTGTCTTAAAATGAAGTCACCGAGTCTAAAAGGAATATGGATCACTGAAAGGATCCAAGAACAAAAATATTTTGGAAGACAGGACGATTATATTAAAAAATGGTCCTTAAAATAGCATTGTTTATTCATGTGTGCATGGATTGGATACGTCTCTGGATTCCTTCCTCTGCCAGTACCTTTTCCTGCTACCTGTGAATCATACTGCACCTTAGCTTTGTGGATCACATCAGTCTGCGGCAAGTTCAGTGAATCTGATCCTTCTCATTTCAGCTCCACAGCAGTGTTTTGCCCATATATCTGAGTCAGATTCCAGCATCACTCACTGGTTTCAGATACCCACTAGATGATATCTGATACTTGATCGAGGCTTTGCCAGCCTACAAATGAAACACTGATATACTGTAGAGGAAAGAGCCATCCTGTCTGGAGTTATGGCGCTTGTCAACTCATATAGAGAAACTTTTATTGCTGCTGCTACAAGTTAGGGGTTTGGTGCTAATATGGAAGGAAACAGAACATATGTGAGTTCATGCATGCAAGTGCATGTGGGATCAGGGCTTCATTTCTTTACCCCATGACAATCTGTAACTCAGAAGCCTGGAGCAAAGCCTGCCTAGTGAACCGCTGTCCCCATGAAGCAACTTGCCTTTTAACTCTGTCGAACACTGTTTTATTCATTTCCAATTGAAAACATCTCTGAGCTGCATACAAATTCTTTGGGTCCTTTCTAAACTGGCCTTGTAACTTGCAGAATGCCTGAACGCCCTGATGCTTGAATCAAAGGACTAATGATGTGATTCAACTAAACTCAGATGGACTGTGAAATATGAGGCAAGCAGAATCAAAATTCACTTAGCATCAGAAATACGGAGATGTTGCAGTCAATGATGCTTCACCTACCCAGCAGCCATCTTTTTACAAGTCACTTACTTCCATCACCAATATCTTTTGATATATTGAAAACAAAGGTTTAAAGAACAGGCATCCAAGGAAGCTGACTCATTAATCTGAGTTGGTTTATACTTGATCCAGTGAGGAGAATGACAGGAGCTTGCCCATAGTGCATTCCCAACCATTATAAAGTGTCTCATCTAAAGGCAGTGTGCACTTACGTGTTAATTCATACGTCGTTAATGCAGAGCTGCTGTTCACTATCTTGAAGCTGCTTTGGGCTATTCAGGGTAAGCAAAGCAGAAAGCTTGTTACAGTGCAGGGAAATAGTTATTGCAAATGATGTAGAGCAGAGACAGAAGGAAATGATGCAGCGTACACATACACAGTTTGAGCGTCGGGACTGTACCTTGAAGGGCAATAAAATCACATCACTCTCTCATAACCCATCACAAGCATCTCATTCACGAGGGCTAGTTTCACTTCCTCACCAAACAGAGAATCATACAAACACACAACACGGGGAAACGTACGGCTTGTCAGCGTACACAGAACAAATGAGTCAGAGGGAAGCAATTTCTATGGGGAAAATTCCAGCTGCTGTACCGCAGGCTTATTTCTCAACTTGCCAAAGCTCAATTGTGGAGCATTATGGGATAAAGGCCTGAAATGCGGGACGTAAATCGCTAACACTTGACCTCAGATGGGATTTATTTCTTTAAAATATATATTAAGTTTTGCGCAGCATTATTTTCATGGTTCAATATTCCTCGTGCAAATGAACGAGAATAGCAAGCTGTATAAAAACAGCAGGTCCATGTGGAACAGAGATACTCTCGGGTAAGACTTTCAGAGCTGAAGCTGCTTTGAAAATACATCCGTCTTTGTCTCTCTTTTTCTATCCGAGTTGCCTGAAAAAAGCCCAGCAGGGTGGTTTATAGTAGAACAGTATTAAATAGGCAGCTACAGACTATTAGGCCACATTCTGATTTACAATCCCCCCTTGCCCTTACCAGGCATCTGAGGGTATAAATCAGGGCAGAATCTGATGCTTATGCTATTTGAAAAAAAATCTACCCTCCACAGGTAGAAAATCAGTATGTTCAAAACACCCTGCTCAAAGACAGGCATTCTGCATTCTCCAAAACCAAGGAGATGAGGCAGGATATCATCACATCAGAACAGTCCTGTTGGGCCCAATTCTATGGCTTGTACTTACTATAAATAGTATTTTATTCTGTGGGTGCATCTACACAAGACACTTAGTGCACAGTTGACTAATTAACAGTGCAGTAAACATCTCAGCATCTACATGTGCACCCCTATTAGTGTGTATGAAACTAATATGCTCTGCAGCAGAGTAGTACATGTAAATACAAGTACTACCTTGCTGCAGAGCTTTTTACTCTGCAGCACCACATGTATAGACACACAGCTGGTTGGCTGGGGCACGAGGGGGTTTCAGCACAGGGGCTGCCTGCTGGCTAGTCCTGTGCTGAAGCACCCTTGTGCCCCTCTGCAGCACGTTGAGCCAGGTAGGAGCAGCCTTGGATTGGCAGGCTGATCCCTTGGACCTCTTGCCAATGGGGGCTGCTGCAACCCAGCAAAATGTGCTGAGCTCCAGGCACACGGGCACATGCGTACCTAACAGCAATAAGCTCCGACGTGATAAGCTCCAGAGCTTATTGCTTATTAATAAGCATATGTAGATGTGCCCTGTGAGTAGTTGCATGGATGTTAATCATGGCAGAAGCTGATCCTTTATTGCTGGTTCACATCTGGAAGGTTACTGACCCCCACTTGGTATACCCCTCCTGTCCCTCTCTGCCACCTCCTCCTCTCCTTTCTTTCCTTCCTCTGTTTAAAACTCCTTTTCATGCTTCTCTAATTCTTCTACTCATCTTCCCCTTCCATGTGGATCGATAAAGGGGTAATTGAGTACTATTAACCTGCACTCCAGTATGATGAGATTCTGACTTTTTTATTTATTTTCTATTTTCTCTCTACGGAACAAAAAATACTTTGAGACTTCAAGGTTATCTTGGAAATGTCCCCATCTTTGAGCATCTCCATCCTTTGTATGTAAGTGTTAAGTAATTCAGTGCCCTAGAAACATATGTACAGTCTCCCCCTGGGGTGAGCAGGGGACACTAGTGGAATGAGGGATTACCATGCAATACCACGATGCGTCCGAAACACTTGCTGTCTACTCACGTGTAAGCTCTGCTCGTAAAGCTGAAGGGTTTTTAATGGTCTTGGACTCTGTTCCAGAGCCAGGGTCATAATCCAGCTCCCGGTAATAAATCCGGTATCCCAACAGCAAGCCATTCAGACTCTCGACCTTTGGTGGCTGCAAGAAATTCATATTTGGAAAGCATTTGGTAAGAATGTGCAATGCAGCAAACATCAGACAATACAGACCTTGGCTCAGATGGTCTTAAGCAGACACAGGGTTCAGTGCAACAGGGGACACAGAGCTCCCTAGGCTGAAATGGAGCCAGTCTTAATGTTTGCAAGCTAAAGTTCATGGAATTTACACACAAAAGAGATGAATGGCACTTCTGTTATTTTAACTCAGATGGGGTACTTACAAAGGGCTCTGTATTTAAAAGTCCAAAGTTCACTTCAACCTGAGCTCCCTGCCTTTGTGTGATAAACTATATAGCCAAACCAGATGCAAAAAATTCAGAAGTACCTACCCATTGCCTCCAATAAGCAGGAGAAGTGGAAGCCAATATGTCAGACTTTCAGCAGACAGAAGATAAATCAATTTTTTTTTTTTTTTTTTTTGGAAAAAAATTTTTTTTTAAAAAAAAATTTTTTTGCCAAAAAAAAAAAAAAAAAAAATTTTTTTTTTTTTTTTTTTTGGAAAAAAATTTTTTTTTAAAAAAAAATTTTTTTGCCAAAAAAAAAAAAAAAAAAAATTTTTTTTTTTTTTTTTTTTGGCAAAAGCATTATTTTTGAAACAGTAATTCTCTTGCGGCTGTTCTTGGGGACAGCTTGCTAATAGCACGCTCTGGATTCAGTATGGCTTTAGGGGCATACTGATGAGAAGCTGAATACAGATCCGTATATTATGGCTTTTAACTCGCATAGTAAAAAAACAGGTATATTTGGTAATAGCCCTCCTTGCAGATGGGATATTGCCACTCTTTTACATTGGGCTAGAGCAGAGCAGACTCCCCTTGGGCCAGAGGGAACCGTCTCTAACAGAAATGTGCAAGTCAGGAGAAGAGCTCTGATATAACGTACAAGGGATATTGTTTCTCACGTTTCTTGCCCATCAGTATACCAGATGCAATGTAATCCTCATTCAGATGTTTCTTTTTCCCCAAGGAGCCCATACAAAATTCCTGGGGATCCTAAGGAGCCCTCCCTTTTCTCCATCACCGTCTTCTTTCTGGTAAAGAGGGAGCGGACAGAGCCCTGCACAGAGCTCACCTGGGCTCCTTCAACCTCAGGTAGCGAGGCTGTTAGACACAAGACCAAGCGCCCCTGCTTCGGACAAACTGAGGCCAGGCATCAGATCTGAGAGCTTAACCTGGCTCTCCCGCACAGCAGTCTGGAGCAGGATGGTAAGCATGTACGGCCGCTGGGCCAGCCATTCACACCCCTATTCCTCTGGAGCACGTAGCCCGCCAGCACTCAACAGCACTTACATTTCAGCAGGGGAATTAGTCAGCAGTCCCTGAGGTCCTTCTCCAGCTACAGACTTCCATTATACTGAGAGGAGGTTTTTGTCTGAGTAAATATAGACAGGAGATGGGAGCCGGGGCATATGGAACAAGTGCCTTTTTAGGAGCCTAATGTGGTTTTACAGTGGCAGAGAAGAGAAGAAACTTCAGCCATTTATCTTTGAAAGATTCCTGCAGTGAAATTTAAGGGGCTGAAAGGATAAATGGATAATGATTTAAATCTGGAAAGATCCCCGTGTGTTTCGTGAACTTTGTATAGGGATAACTCTGTCCACCACTGAAGCCGTAACACTGCGTGAAATGGTTAACACTACGTGCAATTTAAATAAAGCTAGTAAAGAAAGGATTAAAATCATCCAAAACAGGGAAGGCAGCAAGTGTTCAGCAGCAGCCTAGCTCTTGGGTAGACAAAATGCAAAGAACCTGCCATTAACTGACTGTTTTTCATGAAGGGGAGACATCTGCCTTAAGGGGATGGTATTTCTTTGGGCTAGAATGGAGGAAAACTGGGAAAAAGGAGAAATTCTGTTACAGACAAGTGTAGAGAACACCTCTGAGGATAACCTTAACAGATGACAAGGAAAGTATGCAGCTAGCAAGAACAGGAGGCAGTTCCTTGCAGCGGTCCCAGCAAGAGCGAGCCCATTAAGAACAATCCAGCACAAGTCACTTCTACTCTGCATGGATGCAGGAGTGCATTCATCGTCTTCTGGGCCTTGTATACTCTTCAAGAGACTCCCCCAGTGACAACTACTATTAATATTTTTTGCTAGTATTGCAGAAGCACCAGGAATGGGAGAGGCCCACCTCGAGTCATTGCGTGCACTCCCCTTGTATCACAGACCACCGTATCATACTATCCTTTTCATAAACCGATCAAGGTCTGTCTTCAGGCTGGGCACGTACTTGCCTTGCGCTACTTCTACTGGAAGCCTGTTGCAGAGCCTAACTGCTCTAATGGTTAAAAATCCTCCTTTCATTTCCAACTCAATTTATTCTTTGTCAGTTTAGACCCAGTTATTTTTGTGCCAGCCCTAGGTTTCACTTTCCCTTGTTCTTCTTGCACCGGCATGTCTGCTTCCCCGATGTGTTTTATCAAGTTTTCTCAGCCTTTGAAATGCCTTGATTCCTTTAGCTAAGCAGAACAGTTTTCTCTTGTCCCACCAGCTTCCCCAGCCGCAGACCAGCACCACGCTGTATGAGGTGCTGTGCAAATAGACAGCCCATCCCTCTCCTCCGTCTTTGCAGGACGGCATCATCCGTCATCTTCCAGCCAAAAGGAACAGTCTCCCTTCCGGGATGGGCGAAGGGGAGACATACTGTAAGCCGTTGCGATGTTACTTCCTGGTAATTATAATCCACAGTCCTTTTTCTTTTTCATCCTTTGGCCTTTGTCTTACTTTCCCCATATTGTACTAGCTTTATTTTAGCTAATAGCATTGTAATAGAATTGTGCTATCTCAACAAGCGATTATTGGCAGTTAATTTGCCTCCCTACTTCCCTACTTGCAAGGGAGAGTCATAATGATAACTCGGAGGAACTGTTTCTTTTCCTGATGGGGAAGAAGGAAAAGACAACAACATATATCATGACTTGCGTGTGCAGCCAAGTCAGAGAAGAGAAGCAGCAGAACTAACAATCACAGCGAGGAGACACTGGGAACACTAATTGGATTTGCATTTAGTTGGACGTAAATCATGTTTTATCCGGAAGGAAAGTTCTCTTGTAATGGTCCAGTGCCTTTTTCTGCTTCACTTTTTAATTAGTGAGATGTGTCACACTTCAAAAAAATAAAAGAGCACATTCGGGGACATTTCCCATACAATCTCAAAACACGGAAAACCCTACTGAATACGAGTGATGCAACTTTGCTCTGCGTTCTGTTTTAAAGTTAACGAAAGGCTATTTCTTTAATTCCTTGTCACGGTGGCACATTGATCTGTTGACAGACGACTTGTTTTTCATGCCTTCCTGTGTTTCTCCAGTTATTTCCTCCTTTAAATGTAGCACAAGGATACTCGGAAGATAAATGGACCAAAATGTTTCCTCCTCCTTGCCATGAAAATGATGATCTTTTCTTGAAAAGGGTACTTTACAGAGAGGTCAGATCTTCCTAGCCCTATCTGTCTGTCATGGCCAAAACTCTACTTCTGATGTAAAGGATTATTTAGGATTTTGTATTTATCTGAAGGAAGGCCCCAGGGATCTGCTGAGGTAGGTAAAGTGATAACGAGTGGCAGCCTGTATGGGTTAGGGAAGTAACATGAACAAGTTCTTTATATCATGCAAGTTGCAGGAATTTGGATGCCTAAGATGGAGCCAGGGCAGTCCACAATCCTGAAGTTAACTTAAACATTGCCCAGTACTTTTAAAATCAATCTTGCATTATTAATACAACTGTCTGCGATGGATAGATTCTCTTCGTTTTTTTTTTTTATTTAAAAATAATGGACTGATTGGACCAAGCAGCTTAAAGCACAGATGGTGCATCTGGATTTTGCTCTGTGAATTATTAACTAAGTTCAAAGTTAAAAATTCAGCTCTGCTTGGCTAGCTCCCCTCCCCCCCTCCTTTAGCTTGGCTGATGCTTTTTGTATACATTATTCTTTAATACTACTGTGCAACCCCTTGTTAATTGTAGGCTATTGTGGGAATTGAAGATTTTTGTTTATTTGCAAAATATATTACGGCTGAATTACCGGAACCCTATTAATATATGTGTAGTAATGACATGTAATTGCCTGCGACTCCCTTGAGATGGCCATGGTACAACTATCCCATTTCATTTTCATGAAATATAAAGTATCCAATTATCTAAATAACCACCTATTTCATATTAATTACCCACCAATAATCAGTCAATTGGAGAAAGGGTTACTCCTACAGTACATTATGTCTTCCCTGTTTGTTCTCCTTGTAGTCAATTCATTCCATGCTATGTTTGATTTGGAGGCGGGACAGTTGATTTATACCAAGACATATTTCCTCCAGTAAAATGGTTCAACATGTCTTCTATTTGTTCAACATACTCCAAGTGATGTTGACATTATTTAGTGTTTTGCTGTCTGTTGTGCACTTGTAAAGCTAGGCATATCTTCCAGGAACTGCTGGCACAGGAACAGACAAACCTTCGTACATGAAAGAATATTCTTCCAACATGCAAGGTGCTGAGCCTGCACCGTAAACATGCATATACATTTTTCATTTGAATACAATCTGTTGAAAGACAGCCTTGTTATGAGGGCGGGATTCTCTCTCAGGAGCAAGGTGAAGCACAGATTTTCCAGGGTAGGAAAATCCCTGGAAAGGATTTCAGGCTATATTACCCCACTGGTTTCCTGTATTCACGCTCACTCTGCAGGACAATGTCTTAAAGCAGCGGCATACAAAGTTCTGGCAAATCAGAGCAGCCCTAAGCCAGATTGATAGGAATGGAAACTGAAAATGCATGCGTTTGTAGAGCAGATCTGGCATGGATAATCTCCAGTCAGCTCAGAATGATGCTGAAGGTCCAAAACCTGCTCTTCTTCACTCAGAAAAATAGCTATAAAAGAGCCAGAGTGCACAGGAAGTTCCTAAGAAGCATGACACCAACCAGACACCAACCAGAGGAGACTGTATGCAGTCTGTACTGACAGAACTGTTTCATTACCTGATCAGCACCATGGGTGACACCGCTAAGTAGTCCACGTGTAAAGACTGAAACCTAGTGACACCAACAAGAGGCAGGAGCATGTGTAAAAGCAACAAGCTCAGGCTTTCATAGGAACCCTGTTATCTCCTTTTGTCTCCATCAAGGTACGTAGCTATAGTATCCCCCTCACACTAAAACTAGAGGACCAGAAATTTCCATCTGTCACCGGTCAAACTGGACTCTGCCTTCTGAGTGTGCTTAGGGATACCCAGTGCAGAGAAGTTACCTGCTCCCACTGTGCCATTATGCCATGCAACTTAAGCCAGGTAAGTCAGTGCAGAAATGTTACAGCAATTGCTGTGTTTTACCTACCTGCCACTGAACAAGCACAGAGGAAGTGGTGTGGGGAGTTACCGAGACAGACCTTGGAGGTTCACCTGGAACTGGAAAAACACAATCAAAACCAAACGATGTTACAACAACAGAAAACGTATTCCATTGGGTCCCTGCCTTCCTTCACTGCTGCCCTTCCCAAGTCAGGTTCGTTGTCACCATCAGTGGCAAGATAGAGGACAAGAGCACGGATGTACAGGGACAGCCAGTTCCCTACCACACTGTCTCTGCTACCTCTGTAACACACACAGCACGTCTCAGCTCAGGCACAGAGAAAGCAGAGCTTATCAGGAGCCTACAGCTCTCCACAGAGTAATGCTCTACTGGCAGCTAGGTTTGCTCAGTAAAATAATGGCTCACAGTTTGTTAAGGGGCTGAGGAGCTTTCGCAAGTTCTGCTTGTTGCATTGTTAGGAGGCTGCGGTGAGTTCCCGATTCCCTGTAACTAAGCTCAAAGTCAATTGAAAATGAAATCTTCAGTTCGGCTGCATGGAGGCAGCATTGCCTCATTAGCACCTGGAGTTCTCGTCTGCAATACTCTGCAACAATAAGGCAGCTTTTGTTCAGAAAAATGGGGCTTTCTTTAACACCTTGTGTGTTCAAGCGCTGTCCCAATCCAAGTCACCTGCTATCTGATGACACCTGCCTTCTGATTTCGGGGTGACACGCTCCGCAATGTGCTTTAGCAACATTCCCTGCTACCTTAACACCTACGTGTATTATTTGCCTGCAGCCATGTTATATCAAATGTTGCTCAGCACCTATCATGATGTCATAACATAACTTGGGCAAATCTGTTCCAGGCCTGATTCTAATTTTCTTATACCCACAGACGCACAAGAAGTCCTGTCCAGGTAAGTGAGATTATCTATGGAATAACATCCTAGGGGATATTATCCAGGGCAGCAAAATCTGTCTTCAAAGGCCCACTCCCCCTCCCCTCCCCAAACCCTGACAACTGTCATTCATTTTCTGTTTACTCCAATCTGCAGGAAGAGACGCCTATGTTTACCGAAGCCTCATGCTCCATCTTCCTGACACCTCAGTCATTAGCAGCACTGCAGCCTAATGTGAATGGGGAGTGAAAACAATTGAAGAAACTTCTTCAAACATGCACAATTCTGCATTTATTTTTAATGATCTCTTGTAAATTATTCAATTTCTGGAAAGATAATGGTTAGCGCAGAGTTTGGAAGCCAATCAAACAGAGTTTAATTCCATTTGGAGACTCCTGAAAGCATGATTCATTATCAGAGGGCACAGCAGGACACTTAAAGCTGCCTGTTATTAATTCAGCTAAATCTCGTTACCATCCATATCAATTCCCCATGAACAATACTGTGGTTGACTCTCTGGGTTTTCACTCTACCCCCCCACCTGAAGCACAAAGTGGAATTAAAATTCGTGGAAGAAGGGGCTCCAGAGGTTACAGTGCAGTCCCTGGAGCACTGCCCAGGCCAGTGTCTGGATCGTGCCCTCTTCATCTCTCTTACCGTCCTGGAGAGTAGTGACTGCTTCGGTCTCGGTGCTGAAGTCACTGTCTCCAATGTCGTTGGTTGCTTTCACTCGCAGCTTATAAGAAGTAAATGGGTTCAGCCTGTAAAATGTAAAAACAAGGATGAGGGATGAATTCTCCTTGAGTCTCTGCAAGCTGCTTGAGACTAACCCTCCAAAAAGAACCTGCCCAAAGGCAGATGAGGTTATTAGAGTAGTTCATCTTCTCTAAAGCCCTCCATCCTTTATTTCCAGTCTTGTCCTTCTTCCCAGTGGCGTCAGGGCTGCTCAGATCCTCTCTAATGTCACTGTCACCTTCTCAAATATCCTCCAGCCAGAGCTCTCAAATAGAAGCCAGGGTAGATGTGCGCTTTATAGACTAACTAAAGTGTGTGTGTATATGTATCTCCATGCATCACAAGCTTCCACGAGCTAGAGTTCACTTCATCAGATGCTGTGGAAGGATGTGCTGTGGAGCAATGTATTAGAAGGAGAGAGATCTGAATACAAAGGTAGGAGGAAGGGGGAAGGGAAGGGGTCTCAAAGATGGACGCTTTCTGCTCATGACTGACTCAGTCCGAAAGAATAGCCATAGCTGTAATTCATGGACAGGTCTGTGGGTAACAGAGGGTTGCAGAAAGGGCAATGTGCATTATTAAAAAAATTCAGGGTATGCATTAGCATTTCAGATCCTTAAAGTGCCATCTGTATTAAGCATCTCATACATCCTTGAGAGTCCTGTGGGGCAGCTGATCCTCATTTTAGAGACAAGGACACAGCTAAAGAGAGGTTAGTTGATGTGCCCGCCACCACCCAGGAAGTCAATGGCACAGCTGGCATGAGAAAACAGCCTGCCAGCCTTCTGATTAATCTACTAGGCTGTGCAGCAGGACCAGTACATTTCACTCCGACTGAATTTCAAACTAATGCTATTACCCAGCTTACTTAATAAAGACAGTGACAGCAGATTCCCCGCAGCTCTTGTGTACATACAGAGTTTAAGATATGCAAAGACTGATTTTTAGCTGACGTAACCTCAGCAAAGCATCTTCTGGCTTGGCCAGGAGGAGGCTTGCTTTTGAGACACCTGGAAGGGCTGCGAGTTGAGAGCTGTAAGTTAGAGGGGGCTTAGTTAATTAATTGGTAGCGTCTGGCCACCAGCTAGCAGAGGCAAGTCCAAGTAAAGATACCGACACGGGATGATTAAACACTGAGGGATAATATATTGTGATGGCCAATAACTAATGGCACTACAATATTGCTTTTCTGGATACCCATAGGAAAATGCTTTTAGCAAGGGAGAACAGAAAGGTCCCCCCACCCCGCAAGTTTACCCTGTTAGGAAACCAGCACTCTCCTTCAGGAACTTAAATTGTCTTTCTTGAAATATAGATCTTTTGTTTTCAATAATGACAATGTCAAGTCTAAATTACAGAGCTCGTCTCCTGGATTTCAAGGGCCTTGACTGCAAAGACGCTGGGCATAATTCAGGCGTGGTGAAACTCCACCAAAGTCGGTGAATCAGGTCTGCATTTGTCTGATAACTGTCAAGTTTTCTTTTTCCTGCCCTGTTAAACAAATGGTGGCAATATATTTATATTTATATCCTTTGGCACATGACTAATGAGTCAGTTCACCAGAAGGCACCGCCTGACATTTTTGTAACAGGCATTAACAAATTGTGAATGCCATAGTCTCATATACCAACGGCCTTTTAGAGACAGTCTTGCTTCTACTGGCAGAAGCAAAATGAGTCCCCCCGCGTCTGTATGAGACATTGCAATGTCTTTAATTCCAGCACCATTTCTGAGAGCCGAATGGAGGCTGGCTGACAGTTCAAAACACCCCAAAGCTATCTGTATATTTTAGTATGGAAAATGCAGATACAATATTCCTCATCTGGAAACAGGATAAGGGGTAACAAAGAGATATTTCAGTACCTTGACCAGGTGAATTTTAACATAAGCCATTACCAAAAGCCCTGGTGATTACAGTGGACAGTAAGTGGAATATGAACCAGCGGTGTGCCCTTGGTGCTAAGAAGGCTAACGGCATCCTGGGCTGCACTGGTTGCCAGCAGATGAAGGGCAGTGATTCCTCCCCTCTATTCAGCACTGGGGAGGCCACATCCCCAGTCCTGTGTCTAGTTTTGGGCCCTGCACTACAGAAAGGATGTGGGCAAACTGGACAGAGTGAAGGACAGTGCATCGAAAATGGTTCGGGGCCTGAGGCACATGACTTCTGAAGAGAGGCAGAGGGAACTGGGCTTATTTAGTCTGGAAAAGAGAAGACTGAGAGGGGATTTAATAGCAACCTTCAACTACCTGAAGTGGGTGGAGCTGGACTGTTTTCAGTGGTGGCAGATAACAGAACAAGGGGCAATGGTCTCAAAATGTAGCAAGAGAAATTTAGGTTAGATATTAGGAAGAACTTCCTCACTAGGAGAGTAGTAAAACACTGGAACAGGTTACCCAGAGAGGTGGTGGACTCTCCATCCTTGGAGGTTTTTAAGAGCCAGCTAGACAAAGCTTGGTTGGGGTAATCTAGTTGGGGATGGTCTTGCTTTGAGAAGGGGGTTGGACTAGATGATGTCCCGAGGTCCCTTCCAGCCCCCATTTTCTATGATTCCGACTTCTATTTTCCAGGATGTTGCCCAGTCAGAGGGTTGGGCAAGATCCTGTGTAGGAGAAAAAGAGTGATCTAGTGTACCAAGCTTCAGGGGAGGAGCCTGGAAATGCTGGGCTGCAATTCCAACTTTGAATTATATTTGCTGTACTTCCTTGGGCAGGTCACTTAACTTCTGTGCATCACTTTTGCCACCTCTACCACCGGGACAGTGGCTCTTCTTTACCTGTCTCCCAAAGGGCGTGGAAGTTTCACAGGTTAATATTTGATCTTTGAAACTATAAAATGCTCCAAGTGGCAAGTGGTACAAGTTCTAGGATGCCCTGATGTTGTAAGATACCTCTCAATGATGCAGGAGGTTGCCTCATGACTGATGGAAGAGGAGTAGGTTTGCCATTCTCCATTTGGTAGCTCCCGCACTTGCACAGTGAAGTATCGTACCGGGGAGGATCCATCACTACCAGGAACCCACTGCAGCTTGAGACTCTGTGACGAAACCTCAGTCTGCGGGGTTATCAGTTGCCTGGGAGGTGCTGGTCGCTCTGCAATTAAATAAAAAGCTGGTATCACCACAGAAGAAAATTCAAATGGAAACATCTAGAGAGACTCATGCACCTTCTCAGTTGCAATGATACAGGGGATCTGATGCTTGAAACACTAAAGCACACCACTGGTACTACGGCTCATGTCCCAGTTTCAAAGACGAGAGTTAGAAGTTATCGTCACCTCCCTAGCAACACAGTCACCTCAAGAACCCTTATGTTCCTAAATCACTGGATACGGAGGAGTCAATATTGCAATCGTCATATTTTTGTCTCTCTCAGATATTGGGAAACATCTGCACTCTGTACACTTCCCTTTTTTTGGAAAGAGACACAGCACCAAAGAGAATCAATACCTCTTTGATACCAGCAGCCAAACAGCTACAGAGAGGAAATTTCTTGTGAAACTGAGAAGTGCACCTGGCCTGTAATCTCCTATACATCATTCCAGCTTCTAAGCCTGTGCCCATTAGCTTGGTATCTAAGGACCAGACTCCCCAGTCTGCCAAGTTCACTCCGTGCCACACAGCTGCTGCCTCCTCTAGCAGCTGCTACCAACCCCTGGTGTATTAGAAAAGCAGAGTTGGATTGTGGGGGGATCCAGTTTCACTCTGCCTGATCCCCCACTGACCATCAGTGATCAATGCTTCTCCGCTGCACTAACCTCTGCTGGAACCAGCCAGTCAACCATTGACCTGCAACTGCTACTGCCCGCTGTGTCCAAGCACATCTTGGATGTAGTGGAGACTTGAGGCTGGAAGTGCCTACTTCAGATCACTGCTCAGACACCCCCCACCGTGTCACCTCCTTCACAGTGATTGACCTCGAACCTGCCACATTAAAACAGTTTGTCCCAGCACCAATGCGGACCTCTCCTGGGTAGTTAATGCTTCCATATTTTGTAAGAAGTAGGGAATGGAAATACAGGTGCAGTACCCACCAGTCCCAAACCGTTTGAATATAGATCTCTCCCCTGTCACGATGTCTCTGCACCCCATCGATTTCAATAGAGAAACTCAATAGAGTACGGAATAATTGTTTAATTGTTTATCATGAAGATTATTGATTCTGATTAAAATGTGTGGCATGTAATAAAGGAGGAATTGATTGGAGACACCGCAGCAACTTGCCTTTGAGAAGCAATTCGATTCAACTTAATCAGCACTTGTTTCCATAAACACACCTCTGACTGCAGGATCCTTCACCGCTCTGTATGAAGAGCACTTCATTTTTTCCCCCTCTCTCAAAACATTTCCTTTATGGCTTGGCATTTCTCTGCAGCATGCTCTTGCTGACACACAAGTGCCAAAAGGATGGTAAGCTATTAGCTGCAGAAAGTCTTCAGTGATAGCAGCGTGCTCTGCAGAGTATGACGCAAAGGTCAATGCCTTGCTCTGGGAGGGCTGGGCAGGTGTTCCAGGTTATGCTATCGGAGGGAGGGTGAGCCCAGTAGCATCGTGTGAGGATTTAATCTGATCGAGTTTAACCAGCTTGCAGTTTGAACAGATCACATTTTGTATCCAGCCTCCCGGGGCACAGTTCCGGTCTGCTGCTAATGAGTCGCTGAGATTTTTTAAATCTCCCTTTTTTGTGAGATAAAACCTGACCGTTACTAAGAAACGATGACTATAGAGGGTCCAATTAATAGAACTTAGGTCCAAGCAAACCCAAAGATTAGTTGTTTCTGCAGGAAAGTTAACTGACCCCACGTGATTCTGCAGGGCCTTTTCACTGGCATGGTACAGCAGTTTCATGTGAAGTTTAGCTATGGAGGCGCTCAGGCAGCGGCTCTGTTCTCTTACCAACAGGTGGCTTCATCTTGAGGAACATCACAGGGAAGTGTAGCTCCAAAGCATTGTAGAAAACTCTTTGCTTACAAAAAGATGCTCTGTTTACGGCAGAGCTGACTACTTAGCTCCGCAGTAAAGTGTCTACACATGCGGTGCTATTAGGCCGGAGTAAACTAATTAGCTCCTCCATAGGATAGTACTGAACAACACAAGTATTATCCTAGGGCAGAGTTATTTACTCTGCCTCAATACACGTGTAGACACTGACTGGGGCTAGCTGGGGCACAAGGGTGCTACAGTGTGGGGCTACCTCTTGGTTAACCCCCCAGTGTAGCCACCTGGTATGCTAGTCACTCCCTCCACAGCACATTGAGTTGGGTAGGAGGAGCACTGAGCTGGCAGGCTGAACCCTTCAGCCCCCTGCTAGCCAGGACTCCATCACCCCAGCTCAACATGCTGTGGGGACCCAGGCGCACATGTAAACACTGCGCCTGGGAGCAATAAACTCCAGAGCAAATTGTGCCGGAGTTTATTGCATCAAATGAATTTCGCATGTAGACTTAGTAGCAAGCAAAGGTGGGATTTTTCAAAGTAGCAGGTGGCAATTCTTATTGGGTTTCAAGGCAATCTGGGTGCCTGCCTACCTACTTTCTTTGAAAATCCCATCATTAATTAGACTAAGTAAGCTTTAATAACTAGAGAGGTAAAAATGCATTTGCACATTCATATGCTGGTTATTGTCCTATCAAAATAAGATAATCTTATATAAAAATATCCTTATCATTTTTATTATTTCTTCCCATCATGGTTGATGCACGCTTAACATTTTTTCTGACTCTTCCAAACACATGCACTACTTAGGGTAGACCTGAGAGCCTTTGGACCCAACTTTATGGGATACAAGCAGGAACACACAGCCAGCCATTAGAGAGAGAAAGGTCTTGTTTTATGTAATGACTCTCATATCCAAGATATCCCTAAAGGCTTGATAATTGTTATTACAGCGAAAGTGGGAATTATGCAGTGAGCTATTACATCCACAGCCACAGAAAGTAGAATAGCTTCTGTTGAGGCGCAGAAGGTTTCCCATGATGCTGAGTTTCTCACCCACACATTGTCAGAATGCGCCCCCCTTCCTTTTTTTTTTTTTT